GCTGCAGGCCGCCGCGTGCGCGCCCGAGCCCGCGCTGCCGCAGCGGACGGTGCAGGCGCTGCTCAACCAAGGCTCCCCCAGCGTGTGGCCCGACGCCTTGCCCAAGGTAAGGGCGCCGCTGCGGCTTGCATGCGCAGGACGCAGACTGCAACGCAGAGGCCCCGCACGTGCTCTGGGCTGCATGCAGCGCTTCTCAGACTTGAACGGGCCGGGAACCCCTGGGGATCTTGTTTAAATGCGGATTCGTATTCTGTGGGAGTGGTGTAGGGCCAGAGATTCTGCATTTCTAACAAGATCCTGGGTGAGGCTGTTGGTCCAGGAACCGCGCTGTAAAGAGCAAGGGCCTAGAATCACTGTAAAACCATGAGTTTGGGTGTCACCAAGCATACCAGAAATTATCCTTTCAAAGTGGTTGCCTGGGGACGCTACTGTCGTGGCTCGAAGTATTTTGGCAGTTCATCTTTCGGTGTAATTTCCAGAACAATAAGATCAGTTTCTGGTCTTATCTTGCATTTGCCATAGAACAAAACTGCTCAGTGAGATCCTCCGCCTTATGAATGATAGCACTTTCTACCTTTACACATTTCTCACGTTCTGTCCTCACCGCACTCCGGTGAGATATGCCAGGTACGTGGAGATGGTGTTCGCACTCCACCTGGGATCCAGCCAGGGGGACTCCTTGTCCACGGCCACGGGTGTGTTGCGACCTCACCCCAAGCCCGTTTCACTGGCTCGGCCTTGCAGACTTACTGTACCACGGTCACTTTTCCCATATATCAGATCTACCCCAAAATAATAAAGATGAAGATTAGAGATTTCTCCCCAAAGAAAATACCCAAAGGACTTAAGTTTTGGGGGTTTTTTCCCTCGCCAATGGAAAAGTGCCTAAATATTGGTCGGAATAAGATTGTCCTCCCCAAAGACTCCTTTGAAGGGAAGTCACTCCACTAGATGTACATTTTGGGTGTGTTTAATTCAAAAATTATCCCCGCTACCTAAGACTCACCAATCATATGCAAGAGGCGTATTTTGGTCTGATAAGTGTTGAACGAATAACTGAAAAAGCTGTTTTCCAAAGAGAACAACATTCTAGAAGGTCTCAAATAGTGAAATTCACACATTTCTCTCAAATGCCAACTTTGCATTAACAATGCACACACAGTAAACGTGAGCTGAACAGTGGAAAGTCCACCCAGCCGACTCTTCCCAAGTTGGCAAACGTGATGGCAGTTTCTCGGCTCTAAATCTTACATAGCTAAGGGATTCTCTCATGACACTCTACTAATGCAGTGATTTCAATGAGCTGAAGTCAACTCTATGGCAAAGGGTTTTGGTTTGGACTCCGGAAAAGAAAGAAATGCTAGCATTTTTATATTCTACAACACCAACACTTTACATACATAATGTGTATTTTAATGTTTCCCATTACTAGCAGGCTTAGTTCATTGACCTCCAGTCCATGCCATGTTTGCATTAAGTCAAGGTGCACACTCCAGCCCTTGTGATATGAACTTGCGTAAAGAGTGGAAAGAAAAGCAGACTTTTTACACGGTGGATCACAAGTGGGAACATCTGGGGCAGATTCTTTAAGAGAAAAGAGTCAATATACTTCAGCAGTGACTAGAAATAATCGTTAATTAGCCTTGAAATCTTGTTCCTTTGAGTGCTCTTTGCTGTCCACATTTCAGAGTCCTAAGTGTGGCCCCATAGTTGTTATCCGTGGGGACAGGGCTCTAGCCCCTCAACTTTGTCTCCAGTTCTGTAGGGATGCTCCTACCTTGACTTAGCAATGCAGGAAGAGGCTCAGAACCTCCCCTCGGGTCTTCAGCCGCCCTCTTCTGGGATCCCCAATACTGTGTCAGCCACACAGAAACGGGGTCCGGTCAGTGGGTCTGCTCATTCTTCTGTTCAGGTTGGGGTGGGTTTGGGGTTGGGGCCAGTGTGCTGTCATGAGAGGCCCTGGGCAGTGCAAATGGTTAATGTGCTCAGCTGCTAACCAACTGGTTGGAGGTTCTGGTCCACCCAGAGGCACCTCAGAAGAAAGGCCTGGCGATCTGCTTCCAAAAATCAGCCATTGAAAACCCTATGGAGCACAGTTCTACCCTGACACACATGGGGTCGCCATGAGTCAGGGTCAACTCAACAGCACCTGGTTGGTTTTATGGTCCTGGGAACCAAGAGGCCATGAGAAGTGCTTGGCTTTGGGAGGGGACAGCAAATCACCTATCAGTTCCTGGTGTTGGGGAAGGAATAGGAGTTCCCGTGGGGACTCTGAGTACCTTGAGGCTTTCACAGAAAGCACGACCACCATTGCCTCCCCTACACCCTCCCCTGTACGTTGCATCTGCCCAGCACGTGCGAACCTTCAGCTAATGTTTGTTGAATGAACGAAAGAGATGCCAGCAACTCCCGGGTGTATAGCCTGCCATTAGATCTTTGGAAATGGAACTTCATCCTCTTTACTCAAGGGGGCTGCCCCCGCAAACGAGTTTGGAGGAGATCCACAGCCACCAGTGTCCCTGCCCTCCTGGCCAGGAGCAGGTTGTGGATGGGAATGCCGTCACCATGCTGAGAATCCCCCAAGCAAAGGTACAAGTGTCCGTGAGTCGCTGGCCTTGCCCCAGGACGACATGAGCACCGCATGGGAGGTGGGAGGTGCCTTCCGCCACTCAGCCCCGTGTGCTCCGTACCAGTGTTCCACTGGGAACGATCTAATCACCGTGCTCGAGATCAAAGGCACAGACCGCTTTGCTCAGCAGCCCCGTGGAGCCAGCAGCAAACACGCCCAGACCGCCACAAAGATGTTCAGTGGCAGGACTCCAGCCCCATGGCAAGGCGTACACAGAGACACAAGGGAATGTCACCGAGCATGCTGTCCGTGGGCAACAGCCACACTTTAAATAGATGTAAAGAGACACCCACGGAGCTCAGAATTACTGAGGCGAAAGGTTTCACAGCGAGCTCATGACATAAATCACAGTCCCCCATCCCCAGACAAAGGCAGGATCACGGCGGCTGGCGGATGCCAAGTGCCGGTCGGAGCGGCGCGCAGTGTTCCACCGGCACACATCAAAGCGGAGTCACGGCTCCAGAAGCGAGCATGTTGACAGTGCCAGGCCTTTGTGCCTGGCTGACCGCTAGTTAGGACCACGAGGCAGAGATGCAGGCCAGGGCAGGTGCGGGGTCAGGCTGCGGCTAGGTGTGAATTCCGGAAGGCGTGGGACAGCGTGGGCCCAGGCCTGGAGGAGAGCAGGCAGGAGGGTGAGAGTCACCGCCCCTTACCCACACAACGTGGACCCAAACCCGTCTTGCAGCTGCCACAAATTGTGGGTTAGACGATAGATCTGGAATAAAGGGGTTTGCTCAGGTGAGCCCCGTTTCTCCCTCTTCCACCTCTCACCTGGAGGACAAATTCCTGAGACGCTCATGAAGCCCCGTCTTACCTTTTTACAGGGAAGCGCTGCTTTTCTGGTCCCAGCTCTCTGAAGACGGCATTTCTGGGTCTCCTCCAGACCAGAATGTTGCAGCTCCTAGGGGTGTTGTCAACAGCCGTCCAGTGGCTCCAGCTCATGGCGACCTTACCCATGACACCCAAATGGTGCCCTCTCCGGCACCATGTTCCCAATGGCTGTATTTGAGTCCAGTGTGGTGGCTGTTGTGTCAATCCACCTCATGGAGGGATCCCCCGTGTTCGCTGACCCTCCACTTTACCAAACACGATGTCCTTTTCTAGCGATTGGTCCCTCCTGAGGACGTGTCCAAAGTAAGTGAGCTGAAGGTCACCATCCTGGCTTCTAAGGAGCATTCTGGTTGTATTTCTTCTAAAACTGATCTGTGTGTTCTTCTGGCAGTCCATGGTATAGTCAATATTCTTTGCCAACACCACAGTTAGAATCTTCCAGGGGTGTTGGAGGGCATTAAGTCCAGCTGCCCTCAGATGGGGCATGACTTACCCAAAGTCACAGGGCTGGAAAGTAGCAGAACCAAGACTGGACCCCACATCTTCACATCCAACCCGCTACCCTTCCGTGCCTCCCCATGGCACCCTCTGTGGCTCATGCCAGCTGCATTTGCCCCTTGTTATCGCCGACCCCCTTCCTTAAGCACTTTGGTTTGCAGTCAGCACGTGTGGCTGGTCCATTGTCCTCCCTCCAACCCCATCCCCCATTTTGTGCTATTTCCCAAAGAACTTCCATTATTATCTGCTATGGATTGAATTGTGTGCCCCCAAAATATACACTGTAAATCCTAACCTCTACACATGTGCAGGATCCCTGGTGGCACAGCAGTTAAGAGCTCCAGCTGCTACCCAAAAAGTCAGCAGTACGAATCCCCCAACCACTCCTTGGAAACCCTATGGGGCAGTTCTACTCTGTCCTGTAGGATCGCTGTGAGTCAGAATCAACTGGATGACAATAGGTTTTGTTTTTGTTTTGTTTTTTTTTTCGGTGTACTTGTGGATGTAAACCCATTTGGGAGTGGGTTTTCTTTGTTATGTTAAGAGGCCGTATTAGTGCAGGGTGTGTCTTAAGCCCATCACTTTTGAGATGTGAAAAGACCCGATTAGCACAGAGAAAGAAGCACAAATAAAGGGGAAGATACAGGACATACACACACACACACACACGCCAAGGAACCCAGGAACAGAAGCTGAAAAGAGCCAACAGAGACAGAAAGCCTCCCCTAGAGCTGGCGCCCTGAATGCAGACTTCTAGCCTCCTAAACTGTGAGAAAATAAATTTCTGTCTGTTAAAGCCACCCCCTTGTGGTATTCCTGTTACAGCAGCAGTAAGTAACTAAGATACCGTCTACAGAGCAGAAGTCACCAGCAAACCAGTGGGAATAATATATATTATCAAACTCAGGCTTGCCCACGAGTCGGGGACTGCAGGGACGCCACCAGCAGGGAAAGATTTCCCCCAAACTGCATCTGCATCAGCAGGGTATCCCAAAGGCATCCCGCAAACACTTATTCATTCAACAAACATTTCCTGGGAACTGCTGTGCTCAGTGTTAGAGCTACAATGATGAACAGGAGCGTACATACTTCCTGCCCTCTTGGAGCTGCTGGGATTGTGGGCAGGCAGCCACACACACCACCTGTCA